TTCTTCTTCTTTTCTTCTTCTTCTTCTTTTCTCTGTTTCTTGCTCCCGTGAAAGTCATTACTCGTTGTGACTTCCAACTGCATAGCCAAGACCTGTCATCTCTTTGCCTCATCTAACCATCTGTGAGCACGGTCGAATTCTTAGCAGCAGATTTGTGTAACAATGTATAATGTAATAGCTCACATTCGAGGCATACTAGTCCGTATGGTGCAGTGGTAGCATAGTTGCCTTACACGGTATAAAATCGCACGGAACGCAAATGGTCCTAGGTTCGAACCCTAGTACGGACATAAAAGTTAAATCCACATGTTTTTTTGCCTTGTACCGCAACCAATTTTCCGCCCCTTTGGTCTTGGAGGATGACCTGGGTTGGTTTTTTTATTCTTTGCCTTCCTTGCATTTGCTTTGCGCGTCGTTTTCCTCCACTCATGCTGGGGTTTCGTGACCTTTTCCGTCCATTTTGTGCTGGGTGATGTCATCCGTGTGTCCCACCCACCCTGTACTCGATTCGGTCTCGCTTGCGTTTGTCGGCGCTTTTGTTCTTTGACCATGCCCCAGCAGCTGAAACAAGAGGGCTACTATGTGTGGGTTCTTTGGTCAGTGTTTTTCTTTCATACTTGTTCTTAACTGGGCGCAGTTCCGCTGCTTTGCCGCTCCCCTTGTGCTTTGCACGGGCGCAATATCAACAGATGGGAAGCGGGGACGTGCTTTACGCCATTGAGAGAGGCAACACAAAACATGAAAGGAAAAACACCTAAAGAAAAAAAAAAAGAAAAGAAAAGAAAAGGAATAAAATCATGACAAATAAAAAGAAAAGCAAGTGCCCCAGTAAGATGCACCGCCGCAGTCGTGTTTCCCGAGTGCCGCAACCCCCCAAGACCAAGCGCCGCCAGCCGCGGCTTATCGATCTTATCGCCAACCACGTACATGAACCTCCATCCCCTCAAGAGCTCCTCCTCTCCACGCTCCACCGTCCGCATCCAAACCAAGATCGCGACAGCTCCAGCCATGGCCCTCGCGATGCCCAGCGTGCTCGTCCGCCGAGCTCTGCGCCTCACGGCGTCCATGGAAGCGTACGTCTGCCGCCCCGAGCGCAAAAACACCCATCAGCGTTGGCGAGAAGAAA